TGTTAAAAGTTATCTTTTGAGCTCGCCTTTGGTTGAGTTAAGCTTGATCAGACAGAAGAGAAAGTTTAGCAGCTTATTAATAATAAGAGTTACTTTACTAGCAGACAAAAGCGTTTTGAATCTTGAAACGTCTTAAAAAACTTCCTGGTACAGGTTTTGTCTACTACTTGACGATCTTCTAAAAAAAGATTCAGTGCACTAAACAGTCTTAAGCTGTTATTTTTTTCTTCTGCTGGATTTAGTCTGACATTTATGACGTTATTAATATGTTCGATTATTCCGAAAAGAAAGATCAGAATGGTAAAAAAATTTTCTAAATTGAATATTAACAAATTGCAGCTGCGCTTCTTCAAAAAAATTGGAAATAAACATTACGTTGAAAGGCTGGTCCACTAAGCTGTATGTCCGGTTTTTCTGGATCATTTTTGATAGATGTACAAAGACGAGTGCCAAATTCTTGTCGAGATGATCCTTTACAACTTGACTCGACTCCATCACAAAGTACCCCGCGTATTTGTGAACCAGCACACTTTTTGCCTCCGTTGTTGGGCCTAAAAAACGTTTGGTAATGTACTGACGCTCCAGTGCACAGTACTGTACACAGTTCACCACTAACTTCGCCCAGAATCTATTCAGATATGATGATAATGTAAACAATGCTTAGAATAACAGCAATTAAAAGAGCTTTCCAAGTTTTTTTTTTCTTTAATCAAATCCCGCAACATGTACTCCATTTAATCAACTTTGCACTCATTTTCACCATGCGCATTACTTAGAAACAAAGAAGCTGCTCAAAAAACACGAGAAACAAATTTCCACAGAAAATAACGTAGTAAGCTATGGATAAACTATTGTTTCAAAAAAACCACAAAGGCTAAGAAACTTTTTTTGCTCAAAAGTAAGAAAAGAAAAATAATAATAATGAAAATTTGGCTTCCAAATTCGGCTAGTCATCAACGAATACCAATAGTAGCTTGAAAGATACACATTCATGTGTAAAAAGCTCTGAAAAAGTTTTTTGATTGACAGATATCAGCCAAATATTGCCATTAACGCAAAGATTAGCCTTGAAAATGTGTCTTACCAGTGCTGGCGCCCTCGTGATTAGCGCTGAAGTCAGTAGCCCAGAAGTGTTATAACAGTTTTATCCAGTCTTAATGATCTTAACTGACTATATAACTTTTAACCGTAATGTACTTTGGCTGTAAAATTTAAAAGTTTGAATAGTTAACGGTTACTTACGCAGGATTGGTACACATTCGCATTTGACTTTTGATTCTTATACTGCCGGTAATCTGGCACTGCATTATAGGACACTGCCGTTCACCACCAATCCACTCGGACCAGCCGCCATCAACTTTTTCAGGTGGAGGTCCAATTTTCCAGTTTGTGCACTGACCCTCCAAACAGAACTGAAACATGTTGGATACTTAGTAAACTGGCTGCAGAAGTTGAAGACTAGGTTGTTTTATTTTACGCTATGAGTGAAAACAATAGAGGCTAACAACCTTATTATTACCACACCAGCTTCCTTCTAACGCAGGGTGCGCTGTTGAAATTTTAGCACCGCTATTACCACACCATAAAATACGACAAATATCCTACAAGTAAAAAGCTGTCATACTGGAATAAAAAAAATTTTCCGTGAACTACTGTTACTGAACTAGGTTAAAAAAAACATAAACTAGATCCAAAACAGCCTAAGCGGTACATCCATCGTTCTTCCTTGAGGAATTTCCACATGAAAGTCTTTTCCCCAAAAGTATGAGCACTGTTGATCAGGAGTAAACCTCTGCCCTGGAAGCCTACCATCTCGTAGATGATCGTGTGTAGCTAGACTTTCTGCAGCATCACGCAAACAGTTCCCACGGCCACTTTCACTGGAAAAAATATAGAAAGGAAATAAGAAAAAAATTTGCAGTTTATTAACAACTGATTAAACTTTCAAAAACTTCTCTAATGTGTGGAAAAGATAATATAGAAAATCAATTTATGAAGTTAAGATGTTGCTTTTTAAACGCCGTTTTTTTTCAAAGAAGAGATAATATGTAAATAAAATTTCTAAAAAATTTAATTTAGAAATTAGGTTACTACCCGGTAAAAAAATTTTTGGTAGATAGTTTTGCAAAGCAGTTGTTCTATAAATTTTGAAAGTTGATATGTTATTATCAAACTACACCGGAAACTCATCCATAACTTACTCAAGCTGTAGCAGAAAAGCATTGAATTCACGAACAGAACAAGCACTCCAAGTGGTTTTACCGGCGCCGTTGACCTGCGACATCAGGCAGCAGCTTCGACTACACTGATTCTGAACACCGTCGTGTACCATTCCCATGCTTCAAATTTAAAAGTAAACAAACTTAATTTTTTCTTTACAATTATTACCAAATATTTTATTACCTGAATTGTATCACTTTTTTACTTAGAAAACTTTGTAAGTTTAATCATAGGAAAATTACTTGTGACCCATTTCGTGAGCAAGAACAAAAGATCTGCCTAGATGTAAACCTTCCACCAAACTACATGCGTACACTGGATCACACATTCTTGCAACTGGTGCTACTCCAGCCACTGATGGTGTTGTATGATAAATATCAAAACTGAAAATATTTGGAGAAAATTGTCTTTTAAAACAGTTTAGAAATAAACAAAAAAAGAAAAATTAAAAACTTCTATAAATTGTTTATCAAAATCTTAAGTTTGAATTTTTAAAAAATTTTTTTGAAACTTTTTATTTTTTATTTTTTTTTACCCAGTAAGTAAAATTCCATGATCCCAATGCCCAGGGTCTGTCAGATCAGTGCCAGGATTTATGTTTGCCTGATGTCTACACCAGTTATTCAAGAAAACTTGTGCTTGACCATTTCGATGTGCTCGTGCTTCAAGTCCAGTCTGTAATTATTAAATAATAAAAAACTTTTTTTGATTCAAAACTAGTTTTATGTACTATTTTTAACAAATGAATTTAAAGTCCAAAGTACAAGTATTAGTGACGTTGCAGTTGTCTGGTTTTTATTGTTTCTTTCTTTTTTTTTCGCTTTAAGAACTTCAGCGTTTAATCAAAAAAAAAAAAAAA